ACACACACACACAATCAGACACACAGACACGCACTCACAGCACACACGCACACACGCACACACATACTCACACACTCACACACAGGCAAAACAAAAACCTTGAGTATTCCAGCACCGACAGTTTGCATAACATGTTACATGTTTTAACATGTAATATGTTATGCAAAATTAAAATGAAAATTACAGCATTCTGAAATATGTCTGTGCAGCAAGTGGCCCCCTGATGACGACTGGCCGTGGATTCCCTTCTACTATTACAACGTGGCATGGGAGAGAACAGAAGCAGTTTTAAAAATAATCTATTTTGACGTACAGGTAAGACGTGTGTTGCAAACCAAATACACTTCCTTCTTAATACATCTATTTTCCAGGACGACAATTAAGAGCGTCAGATATAATTGGCAAGTACATGCATATGTGTACTTACGTTCGCAATCAAACTCTCCATCCAGTATCTGCCTTTGTCACACATTCAGAACCTTCCCCCGACAGGCCAACCAAGTTTGGCTCAAGTTCGGGAGCAATCCGATTAACTTTAGGACACGCCACCGAATCGGATTTAAGTTGAATTTGAGTCAAATATGACTTGCAACAACGCCCCGGCCACTACTGACTCTCTTCCGAACATCAAACAACTACCAGCCAACCATGACCGAACATGCCGGCCACATGCGAATGTTTTATATATTTTGAAACATTCGGCTGACGCAGCAGAACTAATAGCAGACCTCACCGAACACCAGCCAACCACAGCCGAACTCGCTGACGACCTACTACCAGGATCCTAAGCACTTCGGCCAGTGTTCGGGTCAGGCCATATTCGGCTTTATCAATCAACTGTGTATTAAAAACGCACTGACGGGGAAACAAGATGACTTTACCAGTTGTAGCCTCCTTTGCAGACTTGTTCGCAGACGCTGGTGGAGAAAAACTCCCTCCATGGGAAACTCCCTCCCGGCTAAAATCCCTCTCGGCATATTCGCGTCGCTCTCCTAAAAAAAAATAACGCCGCCGCCGCACAAGTCTGGGAAGGAGGCTATTAAACCTGTTGTAACTTTGCTTTCAGGTAGGAGAGGAGAACCCTAACAGGGTGGAATGTGTGGCCAAGGGACAAACCTACCCTGTTGAAGTGATAGTTACAGGTGAGAAAAAAGCCCTGACAAGGTTATCATTTCAGCATATTTTTACTTGCGTTTCTTACATCGCATAATCGGTATGTTCCCGCTTACAACACGTCAGCAGAACGTACTGCACCTGCGCAAAACCCGTAATGTATTATACATAGCACTTCGGCAGAACGTCTCATATAAGGTTGTATTTGCTCATATAAGGTTAGCATTCCTACAGTAGTTTCCAAAAGTTATGTCGGAAACAAAAAACGTCTGCAACAAGCAAAATTCTGATGCAACGTTGACCAAAAATCCAACGAAAACCGCGAAAATCCAGGGTTCTGCGCAGGCGCAGTACGTTCTGCCGACGTGCTCCCGCTTACATACTTCATGCGATCGTCCGGCAATGGCAAACTGAGTGCATTAATTATAATTCTTGGGACAGTAGTTTTCTTGGTATATGCTAATGAATGATAGCATTATCTATCTGTGAGGGTTTAGTTCCTTTCATTTTGTAAAAAACCTGACTTTCAGGCTTGTTTGAACTTCCCGGTAGAACGTCGATGAAGGTTAGACATCCAGGTAATACGATATGACAAAAAACAGTTACTCAAGCAACTGGATATGATTTTGAAAACGTCAGACGTTTCAGCTAGTATCCACTAGCTTTCGTCAGTGACTGAGAGACCAGAGGGGAAAGCAGGTTTATATACACAACCTGTTGATTGATATGCAAATAAAGTGAAGACAAATTTTTGGAAGTCGAAAAAGGAACAAAAGTCAGACAAGTCAAAACAAGATGATGCAAATTAGTCTGAAAGCTTCTGTTATAAAGGACAGGAGCTTAAGTGTTGTCTGTCCTCGGGGCTGGCAGTGCCAAATCCCAAGTGCCGGAAAGATCGACCCGTAGCCCCCCTTCCCTGTTGAGGGTGGGGTTGTACATTCTTTCATATATTGCCTCTTTAACACCCCGTTCCCACCAGCGTGTTTCGCGGTCTAAGACATCCGTGGACTCGAGTTTGAAAGAGTGACCCTGGTTGTGTTGTAGGTGGTGGAAAATAGCTGAGGAGTAGCCGTTGGCACTAGGTCGGCAATGTTCTTTGTACCTTACTTTAAGCGGTCGACTTGTCTCTCCGATGTAGGTGTTGTTACAATTGGGCTCCTCACATTTGAGTCTGTAAATAACATTCGCCATGGTACCCTTGTGAGGTCGGTCCTTAGGGTGTACCAGTCTTTGTCTGAGGGTTGAGTGAGGTTTGAAGTTAGTGGCTATGTTAAAGTTTTGGAAGATCCGTCAGACGTTGGAAAACTGATGAAATGGTAGGGGACGTGTTCGAAAAAATTGTTTGGGGATTTTGCCAGACGAAAGCATAACCACATTCCTCTCAGCTCTCAAGAAATTGCAAACTGAAGGAGTTCTGGATCGTCCCACCTACCTAAAACTCAATCCCACAACGGAACAACCCCCTGCTTTCTACGGCCTTCCCAAAATCCACAAACAAAGTGTCCCTCTACGACCCATAGTCTCCAGTATAAGCTCTGTCACCTATGAGTTAGCAGGTTTTCTAGCCAAGATTTTAGGACCACTAGTGGGGAAATCTCAGCACCATGTACAGAATAGTGCCGACTTTGTCAACAAAATCAAAGACATTCATGTAGAGGATGATGAAACCATCACTTCGTACGACGTGTGCTCACTTTTCACCTCCATACCACCCAAGGAAGCAGTGTCAGTAGTCAAGGAAGCCTTGGAAGCCGATGATACACTTGCAGATAGAACCAACCTATCCGTTGACCAAGTTTGTGAGCTACTAGAACTCTGCTTAGGATGCACATACTTTACCTACAAAGGACAGTTCTACCAACAAATGCACGGCTGTGCTATGGGATCACCAGTCTCACCAATTGTTGTAAACCTGTACATGGAGAAGTTTGAAAACAAAGCCCTCAGCACTTTCAATGACACTCCCCCGGCCAACTGGTTTCGATATGTAGATGACACTTGGTGCAGATTGAAAAAGAGGGTAGCTGCTGACTTCTTTGACCACATCAACCAGATAGATGACAACATCAAGTTCACACAGGAGCCAAGCCATGACAACATGCTCCCTTTCCTAGACACCAAAACTATCGTAGAGGAAGATGGTAACCTTCGTTTCGAAGTGTACAGGAAACCAACCCACACTGATCAGTACCTGGCCTTTGATTCCCACCACCCTTTGGAACACAAACTAGCAGTGATCAAAACTCTCTTCCATCGTGCAGACAACATTGTCACTTCAGACCAAGCCAAAACGGACGAACAAAGACACCTCCGAGGTGCCCTGGCTAAATGTGGCTACCAAAACTGGACTTTCAACAAAGCGCTCAAACCTTCAGATCAGTCTAAGAAAACCCAGAAGTGCAAACCATTGACCAACAAAAACAAGGCCAACATCCCTATTCCGTATGTCCAAGGAGTATCTGAGAAACTCCGACGGATCTTCCAAACTTTAACATAGCCACTAACTTCAAACCTCACTCAACCCTCAGACAAAGACTGGTACACCCTAAGGACCGACCTCACAAGGGTACCAAGGCGAATGTTATTTACAGACTCAAATGTGAGGAGCCCAATTGTAACAACACCTACATCGGAGAGACAAGTCGATCGCTTAAAGTAAGGTACAAAGAACATTGCCGACCTAGTGCCAACGGCTACTCCTCAGCTATTTTCCACCACCTACAACACAACCAGGGTCACTCTTTCAAACTCGAGTCCACGGATGTCTTAGACCGCGAAACACGCTGGTGGGAACGGGGTGTTAAAGAGGCAATATATTAAAGAATGTACAACCCCACCCTCAACAGGGAAGGGGGGCTACGGGTCGATCTTTCCGGCACTTGGGATTTGGCACTCCCAGCCCCGAGGACAGACAACACTTAAGCTCCTGTCCTTTATAACAGGAGCTTTCAGACTAATTTGCATCATCTTGTCTTGACTTGTCTGACTTTTGTTCCTTTTTCGACTTCCAAAAATTTGTCTTCACTTTATTTGCATATCAATCAACAGGTTGTGTATATAAACCTGCTTTCCCCTCTGGTCTCTCAGTCACTGACGAAAGCTAGTGGATACTAGCTGAAACGTCTGACGTTTTCAAAATCATATCCAGTTGCTTGAGTTCCCGGTAGAACTCTAGAAATTGTTCCGTTTGGCTGCGGTGTAAGGTCATTGGAGGGGTCATAGGTCATAGGTCATGATGAGTTTGTTTTTGTCGGAACGCAGATGTTCTGCTTTAGAAATTATGGCCTAAGTGGGCAATTTAGGGATCAGACAACCTTAGCTTGTCCATGTGTGCTTTTCACTAATGTAGGTGATTTATGACAGCTTATTTCTTAATATATATATTTATGATTTCTTATATATTTACCATGTATTTTAATAGGAACTTGCAATGGTGCCATAAGCCCTGCTGTGGTAAGAAGAATGCAAACCCAAACGCAACCTAATGCCGACGTGAACATTTGTGTACAAGGAACTTGTAAGTATCTGGATTTTTTCTTTATCCAGCCTGCCCCATCGGGCGATTCGGACGGATCTGTATGGAGCGCTGTCAGTGTTACAACGGGGCTTCGTGTCACAGCTTCAACGGCGCGTGCAAGTGCGCCCCTGGCTGGATTGGAAGGCACTGCACCATTGGTAACGTTTAAATCATGATACCGATTTTATGCCCTTCAGTTATTTCGCAAGAGTCCCCAGACTCCAACGTTGCAGTATGAATTAACTTTTTTTTTTACTTTTATGTCATTTTATCAGAAAATCCAGAAGTGCGCATCAGTCCTTCAAGCAGTGAACTGACAGACTTGCGGTACGGACAGGAACTGCAGCTGACATGCACGGGCTACAACTTTCCTCTCGCAAACATCACATGGTTCTTCGAGAATGACGTTTCTAAGACTGAAAAACCGCCGGAAGTCAAGGACAAGAAGTAAGGCTTTTTTAAGATCGTCTGACTTCTTACTGTTTCTATCTTCAATTCCATACGAGATTGTTATATTCCTTAGGCCACAGCAACTAAAATTGATGGATGGCATCAGCGCGCGCATGAATTTTCGCCTGATTTTGGAGAAAAAAAGACAAAAATGAGAATTTTTTTTGCCCTCTGACAATGGTCCACATGCTAAAAATGGGCAAAGATGTCTGTTGCCATGCCGGAACGTGGCAGATAAATATGAAGAGGGGAGACAAGACAAGGCTCCGATTTAATATTTTGACTTTTACTTTGATGGAGTGAAGTACTTCATTCCTTTTTTGAGTGATGATGGCTGTGTATATGTGATGTTCCCACTGAATCACAACCATGTAGCAATGATTAGAAATTTTAAGTTGTTTCAGTGACAAATGGCTGTTTTAATACTAGCAGTTGGCAGTAAAGTAAGCACAATGTAGGTATTATTTCTTGCTTAACAAGACTTATGATCGCATTAGATTTGGAGTCTGCGGAGGATGTCATCCATAAAATTTACATGCTAAGGCCTTACCTACAGAGACACAGTCCCACAACACGTAGAAACTCCGCAGCCTACACGAAACGATATTTCCACATATTGTCCCGTCTTTCTAACCCCCTCCACAGCTCTACACATCTAAATATCAGCTCCCTGCTGCCTCAGTATGAGGGTCACGTGACTTGTGAGGCCGTCAGTACCAGCGGAGAGAAGTACAATGACGCGGTCGACATACGGATAGCAGGTACTGTGTGCCACTTGTTATGTTTTACATGTAACGTTCAGATACTGGTTAAAACTCGCGTTTAATGGTCAACATTTTCAAGTAGTTGCACAATGATACATCAGACAAAATGAAGCAAGTAACTGGTTTATTTTCCGAATAGTCAGTCGTTTCATATAGTAGCCATTATCTCTCATCACGTTTGTATTACTGTTGTACAACAGTTGTAATGCTGTTGTATTTTGCTATATAATTGTTGTGTAATTGTTGCATTGCTATTGTAATACTGTTGTGTAATAGTTGTACTACTGTGGAGAAATACTTTGATTATTGTGGTAACAATAATGCTATGTTACCGTTGTGTAACAGTGGTAATGCTGCCTCAATACCGTTGTGTTACTGTTGAAGAACTGTTGTATTGCTGTTTGGTAATTGTCGTGTTAATGTTGTGTTAGTGTTGTGTTACTGCTGTGTAATACTGGTATTAATGTTGTGCCCTGTGGAACATGCCAGGTTGCCGGGATAACCTGTACGGTGAGCGGTGTGACCAGACCTGTGACTGTACCGGCCCGGCCACGTGTAACCGGACCCTCGGCTGTGTCTGTCCCGAGGGCGTGTCCGGCGACGGTTGTCCAAGTGAGTCACTTCCACAAGCTGATCGCTACATAAAAAGTAGAACTTACCGAATGATGATAAACGTCTGGTGATGGCTGATTTAGGCGGTAAACGTCGCAGGTATAGAATTCCTGAGTGTGTGTATGTTTTAGTCCAACATTTAACACATCACAAGACATGGTGACGGCACACTTAGTCTAGTTCAAGTTATTTTTTATGTCGCCACCAGTTACAATGTAGTGGACAATAGACAATACTAATTTTAACTTGCGTTAATGCCAAGGTCACAATTCCCACACTGGGCCCGGCCCGTCAGCTTTTGGAAACGAAAAGTACGATATAAAAGACAGCAAAACACAGAAAAGTCTTTAATAATAATGATGGGCAACACCATTCTTAAATTGTTAATTTTTCGTTCATACAAACAGCCCGGCCGGTCCCGGTTTGGAAATGTGACCTAAGCATAAGTGAGAAAAGTCGTGTCAAGTGCTGGCGCGCCTTTTCCAAGGGCACATCATCGGTGTCATGATAATCCACAATTTTATAATAATAAAGGCAGCTTTTTTTGGCAAAACTTTTTTTTATTCGCACGCTCGCATCAGTTTGGGGTTCCCAGAGGATACCATCCATATAATCAAATCAACATGACCTAAATGGAACTCTGCTGATATACATTGATTTTCATTATCGACCAAATCAAGTTATTCATGGAATATCTCCACTCGTTACAGGGCCTGAAGACGCCGACACCCAGTTTACTCTACTGGTCGTCAGTTTAACATCATCAGGCGTGGTGATGCTCCTCGTCATTGTCATTATCCTGCTCCACAGGCAAAACAACAGGCTTTGTGTGGGACCCATTGACGACCCAGAAATCTTCAAACTTGGCCAGAAGATGCAGGTAGCTTTTTTATTTTTATTTTATTTTATTTTATTAGTTTGCACATTAAACAAAACAAAACAGACAGTAATAATACAAAACAAGTATAAAACAGGTGCAGGAGGAGGGGAGAAGCATGGAATGCTTATACTAGGCCCTCCTCCTCTAAACTATACAAAATTAGATATAATCAATAAATAAAAATAATACAATAGAAAATTGAAATAATGTAATAAGGATAATCAAATAATGTATGATATGAATTAATGACAATGAAATAAGGTAATGTAAGTTAGAAATACCGTGCAATAATGATAATGATAATATTTAGTATGAGCGTTTCTACAGATCTACGATCATTCCGTCAAATTGTCAGTGTAATAAACTAAACTACTACTAAGGCCACAGCAAGGACATTTGATGTTTTTTTTTCAAATTTATTCAGTAGGCAGAAATCATAAAGCACAAACACAAAACATTTGATCACAAAAATATGCATAATGAACAAAATAGAAAAGTAAAGGAATGTAAAGTAACATCATTTGTCTTTCGTTTAAACAGTTGCTAATGTAAGGCAATCATTTACATAACAAAAAAGAAGATACATATATGATATCGCATGAAAATCATAACTGTGCCATTCAACAGATTCTATGTATGGCATCCTCCGTATACTAAAATTTAAACTGAACTGAACTGAATGAAATAGGGTGTAAAAACAAGACGACCAAGAAGACAAAATTCCTGCATTTTTAAATTTTCTGAACATAAATTTTGGTAAACAAGAAATAAGGTGACAAACATTATATTACAATCAACATGATTTTCAGTCATGTATTCAACTGTATTACCTGTTCTTGGAGATGTGTATACATCTCATTTAACTAGAACAATTGTAGAAAAGAGCTTGTGGGTATCATCATGGGTTGTTTTATACGAGGGGCCACCTTAGAATTGTCAGTGTCAACACTTGCAAGCAATTTTGCCACAGGTTTGCTGGATCCCTGATAGTCTCTGAACAGATAGACGTTTACGACATGTTGGCCCGTTTTCGACATGTTGACCACCGCCGGTGGACAACAAAATTTCTTGTTTTTCCCTAGAAATCATGCAAGATGGAACTTGGAAGCATTTAAAGACTAAGCTCACTAATACTCTAGCCTGGTTACGAGACCAATCTTAGCTCCCGAGTCTTACATCCTTTTCGCAAATAGGAATCGGGAGGTAAAATAGGTGTAATAACCATAAAAAATCAGCCTTGCAGCCTGTATAAAAACATGCTGAATGACACTGACTTTTTACAGTTGTCTAGCAAATATAAATACAAATTAACAATACAATACATATACAGAGACACAAACAAAACATTACTCTATATTCATAATTACTGAAGCTGTGATAATGAGCGCTGTCCTACAAGTACAGAAACAAGCCTCCATAAGGTTGAATTTCAAACTTTTACCAGGCCGTGATGCCACGGGAGCGAGGCCCCTCGTCGAGCAGTATCGACATGGATATGTTGAAGGAGAGGGAGATAGACAGAGGAAGGCTGCAGATCGGACAACTCCTGGGAGAGGGCGCTTTTGGGCATGTAGTCAAGGCAACGCTGGAACAACCTGAAGAAGGCAATGTCGTGGTAGCTGTCAAGAAACTGAAAGGTACGTAATACAGACACACACACGGACACAACAGGCATATGCAATGCACATAAACGGTTAGATATGGCAAATAATGATAAAAACTGACCCTGGAACTAGCGTACTAGTATCTATCTCACGCTTATGATTATTTTGTATCGTATTGCTACTGTATTATATTGATATTTTATCTTGCGTTTTGTATGTTATAATTATTAATTTGTATGTTGCACGTGCCGGTGGTTACCGCTACCGGCATTGTTGCTGCCTGGCTACCACATGTGATGCCTTCTTGTATTGTCAATAAAGTAATGTAAAGTGAAGCAAAGCAAAATCTGTGATTCTCTTAATTTTTTCCATATGTCCAGACAACGCAGAAACAACTGCAAGGACTGACCTTCTGCGAGAGACCTGTATCATGTTGCTGTGCGGTGATCATGACAACGTCATCGGACTCAAAGGCATCTGCTTTAGAGATGGTCAGTTTACAAGTTTATGTCGTTTATATGATTCTACATATACTTAAAATCATTTCGTAAGCCAGAAAATGCGTACGATAGAAAGATGTACAGAGGATGCCTGCATATGCTGACATATGCATTAGGCAGGCATAGTACATGAATTGTTGTCTTGAATGAAAACTTTCAAGCGTTAAGCCGACATAAGGGTCAGTGTTTTGCGACATTTAGTACGTATTTCTAGAATAGCACCTTTTTTACTGTTTATGCATATGTATCTTTGTGAAAAAAATCTGACCCATTAGAAGGCAACATGTACAACAACACTTTCAGTGGATTCAGTACCAGGGGCAGGACGCCTTCTTTATTTCTTGTTACATCAGAAAGTTAAGAAGGTGCAACACTAGTAAGACGTAAAAATGTTGAAAAAAACCCAGCTGAAACAAGAATTCGGAGATCTCATGTCTCAATGAAATATTCAAAACTTTTTTTACCTGTGTCATTGATTATAGAAATAAGGCTGTGATTAGAAGAACCTGTTTTGATTTATGGTTTTCTCGACTCAACTTACATCTATTTTGTAGGTGAAAGTCTTTTGTTATCCTTCCTTGGCAATGTTTCTTTTCAAAAGGGGCTGTGATACACGGCAGTATATATGTTGCATCCAGCATGTATGACAATCAGGAGCTTTACTATAAGGTTCTGCCCATTTTGTCCAAAGCATATAGAAAATGAATTTCACCTTGTTATGGAATGTACCAAATATGATCGATGTTTTACGTAACAAACTATTTACATTTCTCGAATCAAGTACAACAGATTTCAAGAGTCTCGATGTTGGAGACAGATTTAAATACATCTCTTTGTTTGTTTGTTTGTTTTATTTCGATCTCCATTTAGTGTAATACATAAAGTTTACACTACTCTTCCTGGAGTCCAACTAACTAAACAAAAATAGTAAAAACAATAATAAATCAATCAAACATAAATTAAGATAAACAATAAATAACGGAATAATAATAATAATAAATTCATAATAAAGATTTATCCTGAGATAACAAAGGATAATTAACCAAACTCAGCATATAGAACTTAAAATGAACTGAATGGGAGGTCAGAGGTCAAAATAATAGAAAATGATATAACTGAAAGTGATTGGAAAACATAACATGCATCCAAACACTTTGAAAATCAAATTAACAATGAAGTAAACAAAATGTGGACTCAGAGAGTAATGACAAATTATATACAACTTTAGATGAAGTAGTCCATGCATAACAAAATATAAATAACTGAAATGAAATGAAATATACAACTTTAGATGAAGTAGTCCATACATAACAAATTATAAATAACTGAAATGAAATATACAACTTTAGATGAAGTAGTCCATGCATAACAAAATATAAACTAGAAAGGCCAACATTTGCTTCGGAGCAAATGTAATATTTCACTCCATCTCCCTCCCCATACAAAAATAGAAGATTCTGAATAAATCATACTGCAATCATACAAGGACAAGCTTTTTGAATCTCGACAGATATTTACAAAAATGGCACTTGGCCATTATCTCCCTTTTTTTACAAAGATACAACGACAAGCACTTTAAATCTCGACAGCTTTACTTTACACTTATCTCAATTTCAAAGTTACATATTGCAGGTATCTAAATACTACTAATGACGAAATTGCAACTACTACTAACGGTAGCAAAATTTTCACGGTCTGAGAAACATGGACATGTTCACGGAACTATATATTCACGGTGGTGACAGTTGCAGGAAAAAGAAAGTCCAGGAATTATTTCCTAACTGTAAAGATAAGTTCACGGTACAGAGGTGACAGTGAAAACCGTGAACATTGACCTCCTGCTTGCGTTACGTTGCGGTACAGTGAAAAAAAAATCGGGAATTACAGTAATCAATTTACAGAGTATGTTTGCTTAGTTTCCAGATGTTTTGTATGAATGTCGTAAACTTAGTTTTAAATTAACGAAAACCGATGCGCGCACAGATGCCATCCATACAATCAAATCAACATGGCCTTATTAACAATCACATAAACTATGAAGCCATACATTGAATAAGCTATACATATAATATGATTATCATAACCTTTATTTTTAAAATCATGCCAGTGAGCTAATTGCATGTACAGAGTGAAAGAAAGTAAAGTAAAGTAAAGCAGTAGAATTTCTGTACTAAGCTATGATAGTACTCCATATGATTCGTCCTCATCGTCATCATTCAATGTGGTCTATCTCTTGCTACTAGTGACTGGTAATACCTCTGTAGATTCTTCACACTGGCAGAGTACCGTACTCATTCTCTCTTGTCAGCTCCATACTTTTGTGACAACATCAAAGTGATTTTGGTTTGTATGTTGGAAAAATACAAAAGACTAACATTCTAAGTTATTGACATTCTTGAGTAAGAACAATCAGTTTTTGAATGTTAAAAGCAAAACAACGAAAATCAAAAAAAAAATGTTGAAATTGTTAAAATGCAGGATTGTTAAAATTGTTAAAACTGATAAAATTGTTAAAACTGATAAAATTGTTAAAAATGATAAAATTGTTTAAAATGTTAATATCCGATGCACTGGGGTTCGAACTCACAATTTCTGGGATTGCCGTCTGGCGCGTTACCAACCGAGCTAACTCGTTGCGATACACATCACTCACTGCATTGTATGTCATATAAAGTAAACAGCATGGCGGTATCGATCGCCTCAAGCCACCAAGACTTTCAACTATTAACTACGGGGTTTCCTTCTTTATCAGGTTTGCTTTTGAACCACCTTGATGTTACTTAACTATCAACCCGGCTAGCAGAAGCCGCCGGCTCCTTTGATATTACAGCCGCTCCCTGTCCAATCTTGTTTACACGCCGGGCGCAGGTCATTGACCTCCAACTTGCGTTGTTCCAACAGAGAAGAGCAAAATGTCTGGCCCCCGCAGAACGTACCGCACTCTCCCGCTGGACGTACCGCACTCTCCCGCAGAACGTATCGCACTCTCCCGGAGGACGTCCCGCACTCTCCCGAGGGAAGTCCCGCACAGCGTCCTGCACTCTCCCGCAGAACGTCCCTCGAAAATTGATGCGTATTTCGTGGCCTGTGCTGTACCTACCAAAACACTTGAGTTCATACTGTCAAAATGGAATGGCTTTGAACAGGTGTTAATTGAGTTAATCCAATCAAATCCAACAGCCAATCAGCAAGAAGAAAAGATTAGGCTGCGTCAGGTTCATGCTTGCATGCCCATATTTGGGCCCGCCCCCGAATTCCTTTCTTATTACGTCACGCGCGTACGCCCCACAGTACTTTCCTATGGGAACAGCTAAAAACGCAAATAAAACGATTGTAAAAGCTTGTATCCAAAAAATAAAAAAACGCCTAGGGGTATTTACCCACTCTACCTTTATACGAAATTCCAGGTCGTTTGGCCCAAAAATGAAGGAATTGAATCAATTTAAAGAAATGGCAGGAGGAGAAGAAGAAGAAGAAGAAGGAGGAGAATCATCAGTAAAAACAGTATTTCCCTCCATACTAAAGTATGGAGTGAAATAATAACTGAAATAAAATGAAATATACAACTTTAGATGAAGTAGTCCATACATTACAAATTATAAATAACTGAAATGAAATATACAACTTTAGATGAAGTAGTCCATACATAACAAAATATAAATAACTGAAATGAAATAAACCAATAAATGACTGTACAAAAGGAAAAGAATTCGCCATTGAATACATATGAAAATAATGATAAGAGAGGGAGTTAAATCGAATACTAGTTTACAAGGAAGTTCAAAAGGTCTTACCACCATAGAGTAAGGGTTGAGTTTTTGTCCTTTTGTGTTGTTACCCAGTCATTTATTTTGATCTTGAACGCTGCTTGGTTTACAGTAATCAAGTTCTTTGGCAGAGTGTTATGACTTTTTATGCATCTGTACAGAAAAGTCCTGGTTAAGGCTTTGGTTCTGGGCTTGGGGAGTACAAAACCTCCCTTCTGTGATAACC